GGGGGGGCAGACAAGGAAACAGCCAGTTAGGGAAATCAGGGTTTGGTAAGGGCTACCGGGTGCCAGAGCAGAGAGGGTCTGTCCAGACTCTCCTACTTTGGCTCCGGAGACTGGGCCTCGGGGCCCCGCTTTGCCACTTGGTACCCCCGCACGGTGCCTGGTGAGCTGCAGACACAGGCAAGCATTTAATGAATTAACCACGAGGAGGTGCCCCTCAGACTGAAAACTTGAAAGTGCTGGTCCTGGCCAGAGAGCTGAGAACTCTCTGCCCTGCTCATGGAGTGGAAGTGGGCGATGCTTGGAGGGCAACTTGGCAACATCTGGGAAACCTCATTCTCCTGCCACCCAGGCACGCCACTGAAGGATCTGTGTCCTCCAGAAACCCACGCATATGTGACCACAAGGAGACGGCAGGGGGGTGTTCACTGTTCGAACTTGGAAATGCTCTGTTTGTTAGAAGAATGGATAGACAATCAGTGGCATGTTATCACAACCCACTCATTCCATGGAAGACCACACAGCAGCCCATACGAAAGAACAAGGTCTATGTGCATCCACACGGGAAATACTCAAAAGCTTATTGAGCAAGAGAAAAGCAAACCTGTGTGGTATGACATCGATCGGAACATATTGAAAAAGGCAAACCAGTTTATAAATGTACATAAAACACTTCAGGGCGACCTGAGAGGGATGCCCACTGGCTTCAGGTGAGCGGTTGATTCCAGGAAGGAGGGAGAAAAAGGTGGGATGTGAGAGGAGGACAAAGGGGGTCTTCTATCAACATTTTCTCTCTTAAAAACTTCAGCGAATATGGCAAAAGGCTAATCTATGTTAAGTACATGATGAGTACATGTTAAGGTAGTCTGTGTACTTTTCTATACTTGAAGTATTTCATAATAAAAAATTAAAACCCCTCGGAGTTAAAAACATGAATTAATGAATGGCCTTGAGAAACTCACCTCTCTTCTCTGTGCTTCAGTTTCCACATCTGAAAGATGGGTGAATAGTGCCTATGTCACGGAGTTGACGTGGGGCAAAGATGTGGCCATTTTTTTCATGACCAGAGTCTGGTAAAAAAAAAGCCCTTAATCAAAAACCATCGTGGGGGGCCGGCCGAGTGGCTCAGTTGGTTAAGAGCTCGCTCAAGAGTTTGAGCTCTGAGCAACAGCGGTTTGAGTCCAGCCCGAGCTGAGCAGCCGCTGAGCTGCCAACAGGTAGCAGGATGGCTCAGCTAAAAACAAAAAAACAAAAAAACAAAACAAAACAAAAACCATCGTGAATGTTTACTGCGTACTTCCTATATGCCAGACACAAATGAACTGGCTTAATGACAACAACTACAAAAGGAAGGCATCCTTGTCCCCATCTTACAGATGAGAACACCGAGGCAGAGAGGTTAAGTAAGCTGCCCAGCGTGACCAGGAGTGGGCCTGGGGTTTCAGCTCAGCCAGCCAGGTTGACATTTTGGCATTGTGAGCCCCTTCCGTATATTGCCTCTAATCAGTGCTGATTCTCCTGCCTTTTCTTGAGATTGAAAATTATTTTTCAAGTCTGCAGGTGCCAAATCACCCCTCAGGGCTCGGGGCCTGGGCTCATCCCAGGAGAGGAAGGTGGTGCCCGCTCCAGTTGCAGAGGACTCAGATCTGGGTCCTCACCTCGGCATGAACAAGCCCTTCTGGAAGACCAAAGTGCCTCCCACCGACTTTAGGGGGCCCCCATGCACACCAAGTTCAATGAGCTTATTAAATGCTGCTGAGAACTTGGCCACCAGCAGCCCCATCTTTACATCTAGCAATAAACATATTCAACAAGGTGAGGTGGCCACACAGAATCCTAGATCTGCCTTCACGTTGCCCTGGGGCCCAGAGCACAGCTCACCTCCAGGCCTGGCAGCCTCAGCTGGGGCGTCACAACTCCCCTGCAACCCAAAGACAAAAAAACGCGAACACTCAGAAATTCTCCCCTTGACAGCGGGGCTCCACTCTCTGAGCAAATGAATTGTGCAACAAATGAACACCATCTTCCCCGCGGGCCCGGGCGTTCAACAGTGAGAAGAAAATGAACTTCCTCTTCTACATGCCATTTAATTTCAATATCTCATTTAATTTAAATTGGAATGACTCACACTGAACCGTGGTTTGGTGAGGGTGGGGGGTGGGAGGAAGCAGCTCTGCCACTTCTTTCTCTAGTATAAAGTTCTGTCATCTTTACGTTAAAAAAACAAACCGCAGGAGTACATATGACCTGCTATAAGAAAATACATAGTGTTCAAAATTCAGGAGAAGAGGTACAGGGAAATGCTTGCCACCCTGCTGGGCACACAGAAGGTGATGTTAAATATGGACGAGAGGTCAAATGGTGAGAACAAAAAGGGAGGGCTCTTCCCCAAGCTTTGGAGAGGCCTGGACGCTGCTTTCCTTCCAAGCCCTGAGTGGAAGCCCCTCTAAGGCTTCCAGCGCGCGCCCCCCCCCCTTACCTCTAGGAGAAGAGATCAGTGGCTGTCACGCATCTCAGGCCAGGAACTGTCGCTTGCTCATCTGGGGTGGCCATCTGGGCAGATTGCTGTCGGTTCCCTGCTGGCCTGACTCTCTCCTGACTCTGCCCATTTGGACTAAATGCCTGGCCTTTGCAGAGAAGAGAAATTATCTTTAAGCTCAGGCCTTCCGGATGGCCCCCGTGGCTTTTGAAGCTTACTCTGTACCATTAATCCCTGGCTCTCATATCCCCCAGTTCTGGCCTGGAGGATAGAGAGATGGACCAACTGGAGCCCACGCAGAAGAGAGAAACCCACATGGTGAGGGGAATCAAAACCACGGCAGGGGAAGGAGACAGAGGATGTGACCGTTTCCGAAAGGCTCTCCTGGGACTCTTGTGGGGGCCCTAGTGGGGGAGTTTCAGGAAATGGTTTATATATAGCAGGGGGGGAAATTTCTGGCAATCAGAATTGGGGGGAGTTGCCTCCAGATCCGTGAGTTCCCAGAGTTTGGGTGTGTCAGGCATGTTGATTACCACAAACAGATCTATTGGGATGATTGACCTGATGACCCTGAGAACCTGGGGGGGCGGGGTGCACACACTCCTCTTGTAGACAGGCTGCCTCCGGGAGGAAAAGCAGACCATTGTCCCCTGTAGCAGGACGGGGTATCCTCGTAGAGATGGTGGGACAGGTGGTGGCACTCCAATGAAGCTTGCATGAGATGGCAGACAAGCAGCCCCCAAGACAAGACGGCAACCCTGATCCTGGTCTGGGGGCTTCAAACTGAAAACAGGCCAGACAAGCAGCCACAGCCGGGCACGTGGATACAGTGTGGGTAGAGAGCTGCAAGATCTTCGCACGTGGCCAAGAGCTGTGTGTGGTGGGTGGTTAAGACCAGCCAGGCAGAGAGGCAGGTATTTCCAGCAAGCTGCTAAGAGCTCAGTCAGCCATGGCAAGGAAGTATGCTCAGACCTGTGAAACCCACCGAAGCCGCTCGCTCACATTGGTTCTGGAAGGGAAGATGAGGCTCAGGCAGGGAGTGGGGCCTCTTTTCCCAGCACGTTCCCCAGCTGCCACTTAGCTCCTGAGTGTTTTTGGGGTTCAAATGAAAGAAAGCATCACTAAAAGGCTCAACTCTTACCCACTCCGGGGTAACGAATGTTCTTGGAATGAAAGCTGGCATGGACCCTGGGAGGCACAGGAAATGGAATCGGCGCAGGGGGTTGTGGGCTGGCCCGGGCTGAGAAACGACCATGCCTGAGTGGGAGAAACAGGCCTTGGCTTTTGTAGCACGTGTCAGATCAGGCTGGAGGGGGAGCAAACTCAAGCAGGGACCTTGAGTTTGCGCCCCACTGAGAGCCGCTGTTCAGGGACCCATAGTCACTGCAGTGCAGGCCCCGAGGGTGTGCTCTTGTCATACCTGCGCGACAACCTTGGTGACTAGAGTTTCTTTAGGGGTTCTATGATTCTGAAAATGGATGTAATTAAACACTGCTGATGGCCGAGCTTGGCCTCTGCCCAGTGGCTGCTACCCAGCCGCTGCAGATATCCACCCTATTCTGTTGTAACAGAGCTGTTCTTAATGACAGGAGCTGGAGGCAGAGCAGGGCCCAAGGCTCCTGTGTAAGCAAGGGAGCCCCAAGGTGCAGCAGCTGGAGACCTGGAGGGAAATGGTCGTGGTGGAAGTTTCCCCAGGCTTTCCCTGACTTCTAGAATCGTTGTTGTCACACACTTCAAAGCACACAGGACATCCCCAGTGCTAGGTCAGTTCAGCTGCTCCTCTCCCCCTCTGCTTAGGGTGAAAAGAAAAAGGGGGGATGGGAGAGGAGGGCTGGGTGACCATACAACTCTAATCTCAGCCTCTTCAGTCTTCAGCTGGGAGTATAAGTCCCTGTCCCAGGAGCCCCGGGGCCAGCAGCTTGGGGCTAAGCATTGAGCATCACTGTAGGCCTGGCCAAGCCTGGCCCAACTTGCTAACTGGTAATCGTGTGTCCTTCCCAGGCATCCTCAAAGGAAGAAGAACCCACAGTTTGTGGGTTTTGTATCCTGCCAGAGCCTGGGTTGGTAGGTGGCCAGGTCTGTCCAGTGGGGTGGGGCAGGTCCCCCGGAAAAGGTCCTGTGGCCTCACCCTCTCTTCTTTAGTTGATTGGAGAGGCTTTGCCTGCCCTAGAGCAATGGAAGTTTCTGGCTAAGGAAAGCTAAGTGTGCTACAAAAAAATCAGTTTTTCCTGGCCCCGGGAGGAGTGGTGGCTGGGAGGGAGGTAGATGGCAACTCCTGTCCCTCTGAGGGGTGAGAGGCGAGCTGTGACGTGGTGGGACCCACCTGGCTGTCAGCCTGAGCCTTTTCTTCCCCAGTGACTCAGCAAACTGCCTGGGGCTGTTGGGGACATCCTGCCCAAGGTGACAGCTCCCTGTGGAGCAGGGACAATACATGATAAGATTTATTCAGCTCCAGGCTTAGCCAGTGACCCTCACTCTCCTAACCAAATCAACACAAGGACAATGACACAGACGGCCAGGTTCTGCTAGGGTGGCTTTTCAGAGATGCATATTTCTAGGTCCTTTCCCTGTGGCGTCTGTTTCTGGGGACCTGGGGTAGGGCTGAGGTTCTGTTCATGACCCGTGCCCCCAGGTGGTTCAGGCGCTGAAGCCGGCAAAGGTAGCGTCACAGGAAAGACTAGGCAAGGTGGGAAGTGGGTCCGGGGAGGGAGGGAGGAAATGCTCTCAAATCCCCCTGTTCTCTTTTCTCAGGGTGCCTCCTGGTCGTTGGCACAGAGGGGCCACTTTCTTTCCTGAGTCGCTGGAATTCTCCTTCCCTTCCTAAATGCCCCCCTCCTGCTACCCTGTGGAGCCTGTGCAGGGAGCACCCACACTCCCTCCATGCTGGACATGGGGGACTCTGCCTGGTCTGGATGTTCAGGTACACGAGACATCAGAGGGGCGAATGGGAAGAAGAGAAGTAAGCTGTAACCCTAGCTCCTAGGCCCAAACCCCTGGGCTGCCGGTTCCCACACCCACTGCCAGGCTCTGTCCACCGCCCAATCCTCAGTCCCACATGGACAGAGGGAGCAGAGCTGCAAGGAACTGGCCCAAGCGCAGGAGAGGCAGTGGCTAGAGATAGGAAACACTTCAGTTGTCTCAGCCTGCCTCCCCTCAGCTGCCCACCTTCCCCACCCAAACTCCAGGGGCTGGTCACTCCCTGCCACCTGTGTCCTGGCTCTATCCATCTTCCTGATGGTTTAGGTAGGAGTCCCACCTGGAAGCTCATCTCTGCCCCAGGGTTCCCACCTTCCTCAGGGACCCTCCCATGGGCATTTTCACCAGAGGGACAGCCCTCGCCTATGAACTTGAGCTCCATCCTGTCTGTGCAGATGTTCTGGCATTTCATTACACTAAGAACCTATCAGCAGGGCCTGTGGGTCACTCTTCTCCGTGGCTTCTGCCCCAAACACAGCATCCAAAGGGCTGAGTGACAGAAGGACGGTCATCTGGGTTAGAGGTTGCAGAGATGCGGGTGGGGGGCAGCTTCCAGCATCCACTCCTGATCTTCCTGCAGGCCCAGGGAAGGAATGGGGTCCACATTAGAGTGACCTAGGCTGTGCCCACATGGGGCTTGTCTCAACGGTGGGCTGCTTGGGGAACACACTTGGGAAGGGAACTAAGGGACCCCTTGCTCAAAATGGAACAATACCAAGCTGAATCTTAACTTCCTTTGGGTTCTGGGCTTCTCCCCATCTGTTTTTGCTCCACTGGTCCCCCAACCGAAATGCACTCCCCTCTTCTCTGTTGCTGGCCTGCCCCACTCTCCCAGGCTCAGTCCTGCCTCAGTTTCCCTCTGCCCAGATGTGAGTAGCAGCCTGGCGTGTGGCTGCAGCTGCCAGTGCATCAGCATGGATAACCACACACCCCCAAAGAGGGAGAACACCATCCCTCCAGGATAATCCCATAATGCCTTGCTTGGATGAACTGCCTTCCTCCCGGGGCTCCAGCCAAGCAGGCTGCTCACATAGGCACCCTGAGTCTGTCGAGTTTTGAGAACTGCCTCTTAGCCCAGAAGTAATTTGGCAGAGAGCTTACCTGACCTCAGGGTAGCCATTTTATCAGCAGGATCTACAAATGGCTTTGAGCTCCTCAGAAGGCAGGCAGCTGAGTAAATTCCAGGAATTATAGGTGATTAGCAGAACAATTCCACTCCGGGAGGCCTAGTTCTAGCTCTGAGCTTCGGGGCAGGCCCAGGTGGGAGGCCAGAGGGCAGAGGCTGCAGGCCACATCGATAGTAGCCTTCCTTAAAATCTCTCAGAGGGGACTATGTGCGTGGATGGACCTAGAAGGTCTACGTGAAATAAGTCAGACTGAGAAAGACAAATGCCACATGATCTCACTTATATGTGGAATCTAAAGAACAAAATAAAGGACCAAACAAAACAGACTCACAGATACAGAGAGAACAAACTGATGATTACTAGATGGGAGGGCGGCTGGGGGGCAGAATGAGAAAGGTGAAGGGATTGAGAAGTACAAATTGGTAGTTACAAAAGTCATGGGGATGTCAAGCGTACAGTATGGGGAATATAGTCAATACTACTGTAAAAACTGTGTATAGTATCAGGTAGATACCAGACTAATCAGAGGGATCGCTTCATAAATTATACTTATGTCTCACCACTATGCTATGCACCTGAAACTAATATGAAATAATATTGAATATCAACTATAATTAAAAAATAGTCATGGGGAAATAGTCAATATAAGGAATATAGTCAATAATATTGTAATAACTATATACAGTGTCAGATGGGCAATAGACTTATTGGGTTTATCACTTTGTGAGGTATATAAATGTCTAATCACTTTTTTTTGTACACCTGAAACTAGTAAAAACAAAAACAAAAACAAAAACAAAAAAACCAACCAAACAAAAAAATCCCTCAGAGGGAAACGTCCTAAGTAAGCTAGGAGAAACCAACAGCTGAGATCCTCACACCCAGAGTTGTTACTCCCTACTTGCTTAACTAGGCCAGGAATTAAAGCCGAGAGTCTCAAGAATACCCTACCCCAGCACCGAAGGAGCGATGAAGGCTGCCATTTTTGGGATGCATTCTGACGCTGACTCATATTATGTGGAACCGTCCTGGGGCATCCAGGACATTTGGACTGTGTACATGTATCGTAGAGGACTCTGCTTTCTGACATTTTTTTCCATTTAAAAAAAGGACTCTCGTGTTTTCAACTGGCTTCTCCTTGATGACACTGGTTGAGCACATTTTCATATCCTTATTGGCCATTTGGGTATCTTCTTTTGGGAAGTGCCTGATCCACTGAGTTATCTTTTGTGTTTTAATTGATCTGTGATTTTTCATATACTTGGATAGAATTCTTTGGCTGGGTAACTGTATTCTAAATATCTTGTTTCTCTCTGTGATTTCCTTTTTCACGGTCCTGTGTTTTTTAATGAACAAAAAGCTTGCGACTTTAATGTAGTACAATTTATCATTTTTTTACGTGTTCTGTTTAAAAATCTTGGCCAAGCCTAACGTCATGATATACAGAGGGTGCCCCCCCCCAAAAAATGTATACACATTTTAAGAAAGAAAAACTGTATTAAAACTGTAATAATATATACTGATAACAAAAGATGAACACAAGTCACGTTTGACTTCTGCAATTACAAGAGGTGCTCAAAGTGGTGACCATCAGCAACCAGACACTTCTGATTATGGCGAACTACTGCTTGAGCAACGCTGACCAAAATGTCTACTTGTATACATTTTTCTGGCACCCCCAATACTCTCCTGTTATTTTCTGGAAGCTCTATCATTTTATTCTTCATATTTAGGCCAATAATCCACAAGGTACTGCTAACACACCACCAAACTGTCTAAAATTAGACTGGTAACACAAAGCGTTGGGTGAAGATTTGGAGAAACTGGAGCTCTCACACACCGTGGGTAGGGTGTTCAACTGGCTCAACTGGTCATATAGCCTTAAACGTTTAACATACACCCCCCAACAGGTTCACATCTACATATAATCCTAAAAGAACTGTGCACATATGTGCATGAAAAGGCGCACACGAGAATGTTAACTGCAGCAATATTGGTATCAGCCCTGTCAGCCGAGCACAAGGGTCAGGAGGCTTTGGCTAGAAATAAATGGCAGAGATTTATTCAAGGGCCTTGGGGTTTACAAACCGGAAACACGAGACAATACCCGCTGTTCTGAAGAAAAATTGGGAGTTCTTAGAGTAAAAAGTACCTTCTTAAGAAGAACCAGTCCTGCATTCTTAGTTTCTGGATTGGTCTGAGATATCGATCTTCTAGATGACTGGTGGTCTGGATATGTGACCACTCTGTCCTAAGTCCTTCAGGGGGTAATCAGAGGGTTATCTATAGGGTTTATATATCTCTGTCTATCTGTACATCTCCAGATGTAACTGGAGAGTTCAAAAATTAAATTCCTGGCTGGTTAAAACAAGAGTTGATCATTTCCTTATGCCTCAGCCTGCTTGATTTTAGCTAATTTAGCATCTTGACTATAGTGATTCCACTTTATTTCTTCACTCTTTCCTTAACATCACAGGGTGGTTGGGAAGGCAATGTGAACAGAAACATTAAAAAAATGTTAGCTGCTGTTATTTATTTTAGAGATTTTATTGGGGAATTGGAGGAGGGGAACAGACAAGTTGCTGTCCTTTTGTTCTTCAGTCTAGTTGTGGAGGACGTCGCTTCACTGGCCCATGTTGGTATTATCATTGCGCTCTTCCTGGCTGAGGCAGTCGCTCACCGGCCATTGGATGGCCGCTCACGGCAACTCACGGTAGCTTACGGCAGCTCACTGCAGCCTACACCATTGCCAGAGACTCACGGCAGCCCAGTTCCAGGTCGAGCTGTTGTTCACCATCTTAGCTGTAGAGGGTGCAGCGTCACTGGCCCATGTGGGATCCGAACCGGCGGCCCTGCTGCTCAGAGCTGGCGTCCCAAGCCAACTCTTAACCAACGCGCCACTTGGTCGTCCCTAGTTGCTGTTATTTTTTGAGAACGAGTGTTTTTATTCACTCATTCAATAGACGTTTGCTGAATGTTTACTATGAATAAGCACTTAATTTCTTCTTAGTTAAGGACTACTTGTAGGTAGTCCTTTACCTTGCGGGCGAGTCTGGCCAATAAATAGTATGTTCTAGCATTGTTAAAACATTAATAGTGAATAACTTTTTTCAGTGTAGCCCTACCACATTTCACTAGCTCATGTATTATTCCCTCTGGGCCTCATGACATCACTCCAAGTTGGGGTTACCACCCTCATTTTTTCAGTCAAGACATGAGACGTAACTCGCCCATGGCCAGATCTAGAATGTGGCAAAGCTGGGATTCACACCTGGCACTCTCACTAATCGGTACTGCACACTCCAGCACGTGGAGTTACCAAGGAAGAACCAGGCACTTCTGGGGGCAACAGGAGTACTCCTTTTTTTAGAACAATCCAATCCTGAGAAATGATCTCTTCTTTAGTAATGAGTTAAAGTGGCCGGAGAAGGGAATGAGAAGACACTAAACCCCACCCACCTTAGGCTTCACTTAATCCTCAGTGGCTGGGGGGCACCCAGATCCCTCGGGTGACCTCTGAGGGTGTCCTGCCTTGGGGCACATTCCCCAACTACCATGGACTGTGCTAGGGCAGGGACCTTGTCCACACAACTTCATGAGTATTCCGAAATGCAATTATTTACAGATTTATTGTTGGTATCTGGGACGGGCTTCAGACAGCACTAAATATAGGATGCTATTCTGCTTTACAAGGCAACACACGTTCAAGCCAAAGGTTTCCTCCAGTCAAATTCCAGGGAATGCTTTGCTGGCATTTGTCACATTACTCTGAAAGCAAAAGACCAGGAGGAGAACACAATGCTTGGCGGTTCTAACGCTGGACTAGATCTCACATTTTGAAGAAAAATCTTCAGATCACTGCAAAAAAATGTCGACCCCAAGAAGTTAATCCTTAAGGATGAAAAGGCTCCTTAGAAGAATGGCCATTTATTTCTAAGAAATGGCAGACTTAGTCAGATTTTGTATCCCATTCAAGAATATCTTATGCATTTTCAGGAGTAATAGTCAACAGTAGGAGGATAAACGTATTTAGGTTATCCCTGCCTTCTGAGGTATATGGAAATTAAGTCAGATTAACACACCACCTACCTAAGAATTAGCAGGGGAGACACAAACTAACATTTGTGCCAGGTTTTCTATTGAACTGAAGAAAAAATCCAATGCTTAAGAGACACTGAGTTGATGGAAAGCCTTAAGAAATGTCAATTAGTAAGCGGAAGTCTATTTTTAAATTCAGCTCTCGTCACTAAAATTGCTAAAAATGTCCACAGGGTATGGAGATTAATGCCAATGGCTATTTTCCACTTACCATGATGTCATAAAGTAGCTACTGTGTTAAGACAGATGAACACAGAAAAAAGGGCAGTTTTAGAAGCAAATATTTTTCTTTTGAAGGCAAAACAAAAAAGGTGAGAATTGCTATATGCAGGAATAGGTTTTCCAAGTACATCAATCAGAAACATAAGCTATTAAATCAAAGATTATTATACAAGAACTTTTTTTTCACTGATGATTTAAAAATATCAGGCCTCTGGGAAATTAACTTGAAAACTTAAATCATTCAAGATTTCTAAGTTGTTTTCTATTCTGCATCTAATTTCATTCAAACTAGCAGAATCAATTTTTCCGTAGTGAGCACACTGCTTTTTGTTATTTATGAAGTTACTGCCTACTTTTCCATGTTTAGTCTCTTGCTTTTAAATGCAACCATTAGAAATGGAAAAATGACATTTTTATATAAGTAACTGATTTGTCTTCTTCACATTTTTATTTCTTTTACTGTCCTAAATTGTTATGAGGTAAGAATTTTACCGATATTACTTATATTAACAGTAATAGTGGAGCTGGAGAGTATTGCACTTTCTCCAAGCTGAATGGCGAGAACCACCAGTAGTATGGTGAACTTGTGGCCCCTCCCAAGGCCATGCTCTTGCAGCCTGCAGATGTCAGCCCTTGCATCTCCCTGTGCAAGTGGACTGGTCTGGTGATCCACTGGGTGTCAGGATTCCATCTGGTAGCTTTCTGGAATGCATCAATGAGGAGCACCTCAAAGAATTTGTATGTGGAATCTTCACCGATCCAGTAAGAATTCAGGACTCTCAGAGCCCCACAGTGGCATCCAGTTGGCTCCTTGGCAACAGAATGAAGGCTTCAAGCAAACTTGAGCTGGTTACCACCATGGGCAGACTTGCCATAGGTCACGTCTTTAGGAACTGGGCGTTTCTGGCCACCATGGCCCACAGGAAACCAATACATGACAACCCTGACTAACCTTGTTTTCTAGCCTGGGTGCTGTATCAGGCTGGGTGGAGCAGGGCTCTGTACTGCCAGCAGCACACCTAGAAGAAAGCGAATTACATCAGATTGTTTCTTCTTCCATAGCTGAATGTGTAAGTGCCCATCTTGGCTTACCTGATGGTTACGGCCAGACCTGTCCTACTCACCTTTTTATTTTCCATAAAAGATTTTATTGGGGAATTGGGGAGGGGAACAGCTTTGGGGAATCGGGGAAGGGGAACAGACAAGTTGCTGTCCTTTTGTTCTTCAGTCTAGTTGTGGAGGACATCGCTTCATTGGCCCATGTTGGTATTATCATTGTGCTCTTCCTGGCTGAGGCAGTCGCTCACAGACCACTGGACGGCGGTTCACGAAAGCTCATGCCCGTTGCCGGTTAGCCCCACTGTAGCCTACGCGGACCGTGACTCACAGCAGCCCAACTCCAGGTCAAGCTGTTGTTCACCATCTTAGCTGTAGAGGGCGCAGTGTCACTGGCCCTCATGTAGGATCCAAACTGGGGCCCTGGTGCTCAGAGCTGGCATCCCAAGCCAACTCCTGACCAACGTGCCACTTGGCCGGCCCTGTCCTACTCACCTCTTAATGGATAAATGTTATGCAGGAAATAACAATGTTCCCCAGAATGATTTTAAGCTTATGGATGGCTCTCAGGGGATCTCTCCACACGCACATACCCTCTCCCCCGCTCCAAGCCCTTCAGAATTAAGTAAGATTTGAGACTATCTTGATGGATAAACTTTTTCAATGTACAAATATATTTTGTGTTGCTCCTTGAATTCTTTACTATAAAAAGGCAGAGTATGAATACATTTCAAGTGGCCTGTTTGACAGGCTCACTTTTATCCTGGGTGGGGAAAAATGAAGTCTGTTGTTAGGGCCAAGGAGGCTGGAGGCCTAGAGGCCACTTGGAGAGATAAGAAGGAGGGAGCCCAGCACAAGGGCTGGGGGCTCAGCAGGGGCTTTTGCTATTTTTATAAGGATATAGAAGCGGGTATCTGCATCTTGGAAATGCTTTTGTTTTTTCACAAATACGTTCTTTCTTCCAAATATTTAACATGCTTTCTTCTGAAACTGTCTTGGCCATAGAAAGGGATCCTGGTTCTAGGCTGAAATCCAAACTGGAGAATGGCACACAATCCTGGGAAGCTGGTGGGAAAATCCAGTGCGAGAATCCCACAAAGAGGTGAAAACAAGGGAAAACCATGGAGGTTTTTCAGGCTATCTTTACAATGACTCCAAACCTGGCCCGAGTCACACCTTGATTCCCAGTAGCTCTGTCCTTGAACTAGAGGTAGCACACGCTCCTTTGAATCCCAGGAAAAGACAGCCGTTTCCGTGGTGAATGCTGGAGATTTTTCTTCCTTTTTGAAGCAGACACAAACCCATTTGGACAAGGCTGCCCATGTACTCCAATTGTGATGGTCCTGGCTTCTCAGGTAAGGACAGTGACAAAGGACACCTCTTCATTTGTGTTTCCCACATGAAACAATGTTGGCTTCAGAAGTTAAGGGTCAGAGGCGTTTAAAGAAAAGGGGAAGAGAGAATTTGGTGGATCAAATAAAGCAATGCCTGAAAAGATTTTTCCCATTTGTCAAAATAATGAATGCTGTGTCACAAACCCTTTCAACAAATCATGCCAACTGTTAACAAACTTCCTTCATGTAGTAAGAAAAAGACTGCAGGAAAGATACAATTCTCTGAATTCTGCACAAAATAATTCATATAAAAAAGAAAAAACACAGATTTCCCCATCAACTTCCTATGACTGGGTTAAAAAGCTTGACCATAGTTAAGTTCTACGTATAAACATTACAGACAGTGCTCTGTAAAACTTGGCGAGTCTAAGTTTTGTTTTGCTCCTGTTGCTTCAAATACAAAAGAAATAATTATTTTGATGACAAATTACAACCATTTGGATAACCATGCAAACTAGAGTTAGGGCTGGTTTTTGCCTTTTAAAAATAATCTTAGTACTGTTCCGTTTTTCCTGTTTTGATTCCGCAGTTACAAGCTTTCTGGTCTGACTGAGCAGCATTACATGGCACTCCCATTACCAACGATGTTTGTTTTTACTCTTAATGATGAAGGTTTCTCAGGCAACACTGGCATTATTCCCCACTGCGTGGTGCGTGGCAGCTACGTGAACCTGACACCATGTGGGGCAGTACTGTTCATAGCTGTAGCCTCCTGACCACTGAATGACACAGGTTCTCAGACACCCGCTGGGCACAGCACGCCATGTGCCTGCCCAATCCCAGGATGAGATGACATTAACGCAACAGGATGAAAACTCACACTCTCCTTTGGGTATAAGGTGTGGGCTTTTTTTCTTTTTTTTTTAAAAGACAATTCATAAACCTTAACAAGTATCCTCTCCAGATTATAAAAGGTTAATTAAAACTGTTTAATAGGAACAATCTTGGACAAGCAGAAACAGCTTTGATTGGATTATGGCAACAGACAACTGGGAAGGACTCCACAGGGAGGGTCAGACGGGACAGTCCGTACCGCTTCTAGAGACTTTTCATTAAAAAGACGACTGGTGGGACATTCTGCCCTCTTTCAAGGCACATGCCACTTCTGAAAACTGTCAGCCTTCCACACAGGCTATGAGATATTTTATTTACATTTAAAAATAACTTTTCTTCTTCGGTGTAGTGGAAATGCCCAGAGATCAGTCACGGAAATCCCTCCCTAACACAGGTGCAGAACAGCTTTATTGATCTCTGGATTTGTCCAGTCATTCCGAATGTCATCCAGGTGGTTATCAAAATCCACGAGCGTTTCATAGGACCGGCTATCCAGGAGTGATGCTGAGATCCTCTGGGCCTCTGGCCAGTCTTCACAGTAATCACTACGAGGTGAAACAGGAGAAATCAACCTCTTAATGAAACAAGGTGGCTTTCCAATAGAGTCAGTAGAAAACCAGCCACACACACAATGGTATAGAAGAAGACAATAATGAGTACTAGCAACATGTACATTTTAAACACATAAAGGTGTACATAATTAATATAAAACACGGCTAAGGAATGAAAGAGACACCCTCCAAATAAAATGCTGAAAAAGCTGGAGGTAAACGACTGATGCTTTCTGAGTGATTGCAAATAACCAAATGCCTGGAGAGAGGGTCTGGCTATTGGAGCAGTGCCCTGGGGTTGGGAGCGGGAAGACCCTTGAATAACACTCAGGTTTTCTCTAGTGCTTGGAAGCCCTATTGGCCTCAGTCCCCCAGGGGCCGAGGAACACGTGAGATTTCTGTGTGAGGGCTGTACACCCCTCTGGAAAAGATGCTAACATAAAAACACAGGAGGTTGGGGTCAGCCTTCCCGTGGGCGCTGGGTGTCTGGGAACGCCCCAGAAGGTTGCACACAGTCCTCCTGAGGGCACGGCACTCACTAGTGTGGGTCTTTGCACCGCCATTTGTTCTCGTGGTGTTCGTACACATGGATCGTAGGGACCACGCAGTCCATCGTGAACTTCGTGTTGTCTACCTGCGCACAAGACAAAGGACACACTTGTGAACAGAGCTAACGAAACGCCAACAGCCAGTGCCTTTCTGGAAGTGCTGAGGCACCTCCTCGTGGCCCATGGCAGAAACCCTGCCTTGTGGGGTGCAGCAGACACTGCAAATGGGATGTGTGGAATCGCACGCATGAGCCTAACGTAAACTATGTGTCACACAGGATAAATACTAAGTATTTCATTGTTTTTTGCACAAAAGTGGAGCTTCCAAACATTACTTCTTCCCTCCTGTTAGAATTCTGTCTCAATTAAGATTGCTGAACAAGGCTCTTCTGTTAGTGACCTGTCTACCTGGCTCCCTCCTTCCTTCCCTACAGGCTGTGCTGGCTATTCTAATTCAATGGTTCTCACGCGTGAGTGGGCGTTAGAATCATCTGAAAGCTTATATAAATACAGACTGCTGGGCTCCGAGAATCTGCATTTCTAACAAGTTCCCGGTTGGTGATGATGTTGCTGGCGTGGGAGCCCCACTGAGAACCACTGAACTTGAATGACTCCCTGCTTTTGGAGATCCGCGTCCTGTGACTGCAAAAGGTGGCAATGGTCTGATGAAGTATCTGCAGCAAGGAAGATGGCTTATACAGCAAAGCTCCGTGTCAGCAAGAGAATGCTCAGTAGCCTGCAAATAGGACACAACCGGCAATCAAGAGTGACTTACCATGATGAGAGCGGTATCATTGAAGCCCTCGGCAATTCTGGAGGCCACCTTTTCTGCAACCTGGTTTGGACTGCAGAAAAAGAACCAGTGAGTTTACCATGTTCAGTTAATGCCACTCAACATTGTCTATCGACAGTGTAGTCAACAAGCCATGATAAAAAGACTGACAGCGGCCCAGCTTCAACGACTTGTGCCAAGGATAGGGAATGCTGTCAGGGCAACGGGGAGCACAGTACAAAGCAGGTCGTCTCATTCCACCAGGAAGCCCTTGTGGAGGGGACCCTGAGAAGGCATCTTCTATAAATAAAAAGGCTCCCTGGAACCCAGCGGACAGCACCAGCCAAGGCACTTAGATGAACTGCTGCCGCCTTTGCCATCTGCAAACTCCCAGATGGAAGTGACTCCGTCCACCTCTTAGCTGCTGGCAATTGAGTCACTTGCTTTTACTTTTTAGAAAAAATTTCTAAAATTCCTAAGCCATTCCAAATCTCTGTGCTCGTCAGCCTTCAATCACTGGCTCTGGCCCTGCCCCACCGCAACCTTGATAAATGACAACATTCAGCCTTAAGTCAATAAAGTGAATTATAGAGTGGCTCGCACATTATCCCTGGCCACCCCTCCAAACACAAAGTTATATTTCTATCCGATTTCAGGAAGAGGTCTCTTTCCACCCATTGGTCCATCCGCTCTGACCTTGCCCTCAGAGCCTTATTTACATTCTCTCTTCCCCCAATGGCCCCAGCTCTGCTGTCAAATCTGAATCAGTCTTTTCCTTTTTTAGGAAAAAAAATTATTCTACAGGTTCCCTCTAGCCACTGTCCGACCTCTTGCCTCCCTGTCAACCACATTTCTTAAGCTTATTAAGCTGAGTAAGTCAACAGTCTTGTCCCTCTTGCTCAATTTTCTCACACGACTGTGCACTCTGGCTTCTACCCCTCACCTCCGTGGGCCTGTACCCTCGAAGCCTACCAGCCAGCAGCCAACCTCCCCAGGCCTTCCAGCTGGAATCTGCGGCGTCCAGGCAAGCTGGCCTAGTTCTAGTTTCTCAGATTACCCTTGCCACTCGTCTTCATCCGCTCCCCACGCACTGTAGGTGCTTTCCTTGTCGCTGCCTCCTTCATTCTCCCTGTCATCCATTCTGTTCAGGCCATAGGTTTCTAAAATTGCTCCCTCATTAGTCTTAATTTCCAGGCTTCTCTTATCGAATGTGTCCTGAAAACTTTCTTTAGATCCATTTTCCTAAAATGAAACTCCATCACGCCCCTCCCTGCTGTTCACCACCACCTGGAAGAGAAAAGGGCCACTGTTCTCAGCCTGGCAGGCCCAGGCCATTCTCACCGTGGACCCAGCTACTGTTCCTTCCCACAGGGAGAAAGCTCTGGGTATCTTTAATTTCAGTCAATTATTTACTTATTCAGTAAAACTGTCTATGTGGCACTGCCCTCACTCAGTGTTCCCTGCTTGGAATGCCCTTCCACGCCAATCTCTGCTTGCTGAATTCCTTCCCAGCTTTAATGCCCAGCAAATGCTACCCTCTGGGAGGTCTTGCCAAGCTGCCCCTGACGAGTCCATCTGCCCGCTCGCTAAACTCTGAGTGTTTGCTTCTAAAAGGCTTCGACACTTAAGCCTTGGCACGCAGTTGTCTTTTGCGCATCTTATTTTCCCTGCACGATGAGCGTTCTCAGCTTTCTGAAGCAGAGTCTGAGCTATATATTTTAATGGCCATAAAAAAAAAATTGGTTATTTTGGGTTTATTTAAAGAAACACAATACACAATTACAACCCTTTCCTTGTGACTGAGACTGAAGAAAAGCAGATTAATAATGCTTTATATAAAAAAATAAATGTTGTCTAATTAGTCTATTGTCACTTTCAAAATTGAGAATTTACAGTGACATGATGATTATGAGTTTGCAGTATTGTGTGAAGAAAAATTAAACAACAACGGAACAGTTTAAAAGAGAAAGGGCCCCAGGGATATGTGTTCCTCAGGTCAGCAAGGAAAGCTCTCAAAGTGAAGGCAGTGCTTCACTGTACTAAGCGGAAGGTGACAAGTGCTAAGTTCCCACAGCTCAGATGGGAAATGGTGAGGCGCAGAAACAGGGCTGCCTGCTCATCCACCAAATGTGGACAAGACACCCTGACTGCTCTGCATTGTTTTGGGTCCTGACTCACCTACACCTCAGGTGCAAAGGGAGAAGAAGCTGGCATGTGCTAAGTACATGGTTTTCTTGGGACTCGTAGCATGTGCCATGAAGAAACTTACAAAACTGTTATCCTAACATTTATGATTATCATAGTAGTTGATGACTTGTATTGGGAAGAGGGTCAAGAAACATTCATTAAAAATAAGAACTACCATTTCAGATGCCCAAGGACTCAAATTTAAAATGTATTCTTCTGAAAGGAGGTAAAAAAAGGTAATTAATGAACTGCCAAAGTATTTGAAAGAACTGCGAGTTTGTTTACTTTTTTTGTGTTATGCATTGACTCTCAAATACTGACCTATGTCATTCCTAATGTAAGACTGTCGCATTATGGTATTAAAGTCAGTACTTTTTTCCGACCAGGCTGTAACAAGTCGAGTTGGCTGCCCAGTTAAGCCTGCAGGCACCCTGGAGGCAGAGACCACTCTGCTAACCCCCGTCCGAACCAGCACAAAGCTAGGCATTTACTCGTAATTGAGACCTGACATTTTGTATCTAAAAGCTTTTTTTTATTGAGCATCTACCTCAGGCCAGGGCACTGTGTCTGGTAGTGAAATTTACCCACACAAAATGCTAATTATGAAGCAAAACACCAGCAACTATGACATAGTAAAAAGATGTAATAACCTCAAGTTTAGGAAATGAGTAAAATAGTTACAAACACCTTACATTTCTTTCTATAACATCAAAACATTAATGATCCTTTTTTTGAAAAAAAGTAATCATAGGACTAGTGATAGCACCAGCCTCTACTTTGAAACAAGCACAAAGCTAAACATGCTGCATATTGCTTCACTCTAGCCTCACGGCCACTCACTGAGGTATGAACTCTTAGCTCCATTTTACAGATAGGATCACTGAGGCCCAAGTCACCTACAATTTGAATCCAAGTCTACCTGGCTCCAAAACGTATGCTGTGAGACACTGTTAAGCTGACATTTCTAAAAGAGCACATTTTTAGCTAGGTTTGGCTAAAGAGAGAAGGGAAGATTTTCCAGGTAGAGGCACACAGTACTGAAGAAGGAAACTGGCACGACCCGAGCTCCTGAGCTTCCCAGCCGTGTGGCCTTTGCGCAGGGACCGCCTCTGGCTGCAGTGTTTTCACTTGAGCATCCTTGTAGGATTAGATGGGGTGAGGGCAGTCAAGACTCAGGCTGGGTACAGTGTAAGGGACTCCAGGTTTACTCCTAACACAGCACCAGCACATTGGAGGGGTGGACGAAATCCTGAGTACAGCAGAGACTCATCAGAAGGAACTAAAGGGTTACTGGGCACACTGCCCCCCCGCACCCCCTAACGTTTAATCCTCTCCATGGATCTGACAAATGGCTGGTTAGTAGGTACTTAAACATAGACATCAATGGAGGAATGCAAAACCTCCTGAGCACAGAGCGGGTGAAGGAACTGGGAAATTCTAGAAGGCATGATAGCATGAAAATGGTGTCTGAGTATAGGTTGGGCTGGAATGAGCTCCAATAGAGGCAGGAAGATGGAGAGGCCATGAGCCACATGAGGCCTGTGGACGAGAGAACCTGTGCAGATACACTGGGGTGATCGCGTAAGGCATGGATTTGGGGGTGGGGAGTGGGATAAACGAAAGGGGAACATCTACACTCACTTGACAAGCTAGTGCCCTTACCTCTTGCCTAGTCTCCTCTCCTTTCTTTAGGAGTAGCCCTGGGAAAGGACTGTTCAGTTCAGGAAACCTCCTTCCAAGGATGGCTCTCCACTGTTTACAAGGTGATGTTCAAACACCGTAAAGCCCTGTGTGTGGCCTGCCCTACCTTTCCAGCCTTACTTCGTAGCATTTCCTCTGCCCCTGCCCGTTTCCACCTGGTGTCTTCATCATGGTGTCCCCCCCTAGGAATGCTCTTCCTGGTCTCCACATCTGCGCTTGACAAGTCCCTGCCCACTCTCGAGTGCCCAGTTCAAATGACAGTCCTCCCCGAGGGCTTCTCTGGCCATACCAATGGAGTAACTCCCCCTGCTCCTGCTGTCACAGCCCTCCACACCATCCTCACGGCCCCAGGCCTGTTGTCTCATGTTAGTCCTGTTAGCAACAGCTTTCACATTCAACCCAGCAATCTGCAGAAAGGCCAAGGGTCTTCAGCTTTGCCCAGCACAGAGCATGGCTGCCCAGGGCAGGCATTCTGCGCCCAGTCAAAGACCAAGCCTGACCCAGGCCCCATGAATAGGCTCTAGATCAGAAATGGGAATGCAGACAATGAGTCGTCCATACATGGAGGTGGGGGTGGGGTGGAGTCAGGGGTGGAATCCAATGGAGAGGAGGTCCTAGATTAAGAGCGGTAAGAGAAGCACCTACGGAGGAGAAGTGAGTGGTGCTCCGGGGCTCAGGGAAAGAAAGTCACAGAGGTAGTGGGGGAAGCCGAAGAACCGGGGCGCAGGGAGCGCCTATGCGGTGCCATCCTGCACAGGCTTCCATAGGAGTCGTTTTGAGCCCAACGTTTCGCTTGTTGCCCTGCCTCCCTTCAAGTCCTGACTGGACGCGGTCCTCCAAGGGTAAGAGTTTAGGTCCCTAAAGTGCAATGGTGCCTCATCAG